TTTATAAACCTAAGGATGGAGGCAATCAATAGGGGGCGGGAGGCATGTGAGCCCTGAGGATGCTTTATGCTCTCAGAGCACCCTGTCCTGAACACTTGCCGCCATGAGTTAATCTCCTGTCCCCTTACAACAGTGCTAAGTAGAGCAACCATTACCCCGTAGGCAGGTAGAGAAGTGGAGGCACAGAAGGACTGAGCACTCAGCCAAGGCCACATGTCTGAACTTGAAGCACTAGCTCCCGAGCCTGGGCTCTTAAGGGGCCCTGCCCTGTGATGCTTCAGGGGTGGAAACCCGAGGGGAGAAAGCCAGTGGGTGGTGGCTGATCTGGAGTGGGAGGCCCTGAGGGTGAGGAAGAGAGTAACACCTAGAACAGGGGCAGAGGTCTTTAAGCTCGGCTTCACCTGGATCCAAATTCTCAAGGTCAAATCCAAGGGTTAGACGTCCCCAAGATTCTTAATGCAGGCCAGGCCCTATGCTAAACATTTCGTTCAGATCATCTTGTTTACCCTGCACCACCAGGCTGTGGAAGGGAGTGTCCCCGCTCTGCAATGAGAATTTGTCAGCAAGATTAAATCAGCTGCCCTTGGTTGCAGAGGTAGGAACTTAACACAAACGTCCTCGCTTCTGATGATGCCTGTCCCGGGCCCCCTTGGCTCTCTTATGCTATTTCTGAGCCCCTATTTCCCATGTACACCCTCTCTGACTACCAATAGCGCATGCACCAGTAGGAGGCGCTGTCCCTGGGCCTGCCCAGGGGCGATTGGAGCTGCTGAGCCCACAGAGAGCAGGAAGGGTTCTGAGTTTAGCTCCTGCAGCAGCCCTTAGTGGTAGGAGTGTGACAGCCCCGCCTCTCCTGATGGGGCAGACTCCAAGGCCGGAACCCCCACCCCAGACCCTCTACAGGGGCAGCCTGAGGCTGGAATTTACAGATATCACTCAGCCCACGTCAAGAGAACTTCATGTAGTTCAAGGTCATCCAGCTCCCTTGTTTAGCTTCCTCCTCTTCCCTGTCCCATTTCTCCCAACCCAGTTCTCACCTCTCCTGGGAACATATCCCCAGCGTGTCACTTCTCGAGAATCCTATGCCCAAAGTCTCCTTTGGGACCCCAACACAGGCCACCTTGTCACCTCTTCACCACCACCCTGCCTCCCTGGACACTGTTCCTCATTCGCCCAGGGAGCAGAAGTTCATTTCCACCCCATCCCCTCTCTTGCTGCCTGGAGGCACCACAGGGCTTCCCTTCTACAAATTCCTGGGGTCCTGTTCCCGGCCAGAACCCAATCTCCAAGGCAGGTGGAGGCTGAGCAGGCTCAGGCCACACTTTACTGTTCCCAAACTCGAGCAAGCCTGGACATGGCCCGCCTCCCAGGGCGTGGGATCATGGCTTGTGAAGTCAGAGGTGGTTTGCAGGGCCCTGTTCAGGCTTGTGGGTGATGCTGAGCCAGCAACACAAGGGATCAGCCTGGCCGCGTCTGGGGCGAGAAAACCAGACAGACCATCCCCAGGGAAGCGCGCCAAGTCCAGAAATCAAGGCCCTGTGCAGAAGAACAGGTCTGGGGCCAGCAAGTTTGCTGAGGCCTGAGGAAGGTGGGGTTGGGCACAGCAGGCCCTGAGGCGACTCTCTCCCACTGTTGTGAAGTGGGGGAGTGGATTAATGATTTTTTTTTTCCAGGCACTTGCCTTGCACCTAGAGAAACATTCTATGCACAGGCACAGCACATATAAGGTGTGCAAAGTGATAGTTTTATTTAAAAGGTGCGAGAGTAGGGACCGGCACTGTGGCATAGTGGGCTAAGTCTCCACCTGCGGCGCCGGATCCCATATGGACTCTAGTTCAAGTCCCGGCTGCTCCACTTCTGATCCAGCTCCCTGCTAATGCAGGGAAAGCAGTAGAAGATGGTCCCAGTGCTTGGGCCCCTGCACCCTTGTGGGAGACCCAGGAGAAGCTCCTGGCTCCTGGCTTTGATCAGTCCAGCTCTGGCCATTTCAAATATTTAGGGAGTGAACCAGCACATGGAAGACCTGTCTCCCTCTCTCTCTAACTCTGCCTCTCGAATTAATTAATTAATTAATTTTAAAAAAGACAATTGCCCAAATTTATTTAAAAAGCAAAGGAGAGGGGCTAGTGCCATGGCTCACTTGGTTAATCCTCCGCCTGCAGCGTTGGCATCCCATATGGGCACCGGATTCTAGCCCCAGCTGCTCCTCTTCCAGTCCAGCTCTCTGCTGTGGCCCGGGAGTGCAGTGGAGGATGGCCCAAGTGCTTGGGCCCTGCACCCACATGGGAGACCAGGAAGAAGCACCTGGCTCCTGGCTTCAGATCAGCGCAGTGCCAGCTGTAGCAGTCATTTGGGGAGTGAACCAACAGAAGGAAGACCTTTTTCTCTGTCTCTCTATCTGTAACTCTACCTGTAAAAAAAAAAAAAAAAAAAAAAAAAAACAGAAATACCCGTCATGAGTGGTGGTGTGTCCTGAAGAAGGGGGTGGGGGAGAATGCGCATATGGGGGTGGGAGGTTCCTGGCTAGCTGTGGGATCCCCAGGAACTCGGAGGGGTCTGAAAAGGTGGAGGGTGGAGAGTTTGGCAGTAACACAGAAGAGGCATCCTTAGGAGGTGGGGGCCTGATCTTGGCCAGCAAGACATAGGCTCTGGAGCAGGCAGAGAGGAAAGTAGGAGAGAAGGGAGTAGGACGGGAGCGGAGGTTTCAGAAAGCCTGGACATAGGGACCTCTGACCATTTTCTCTCCCTGCGGCAGAAATTCTCACGGTAATTAGGCCATGCCTGGGTGGAGTAGATTAGGCCTTTACTCCGTAGGTCCTGGGCCAGTCCCAGTTTCTTCAAGTTCTTTAGGAGGCAGGCCAGGGGGCATGTTGAGTCCCACCCTCGGGATTGGCCAGATCCCATGGTCTCCCCGGCAGCCCGGATCTACTGAAATTCGGTCAAGGCATTCCCTGCCCCGGACTTCAGCAGACGGATTAGAGGTCAGTCCTCTATGGGGCCAGGCCAGCAATGGGACGTCTCCACAGCCACGGGGAAGCTAAACAGCGGAGAACAGAGCCCACGTGTGCACAATTTGGAGGTCTCGGTCCAGACACAGAGCTAGCTGGAGATCCCAGAGACTGGGCCAACCCAGAGGAGGGAGGGAGAGCAAGGGAAGAGTTACTTACAGTTGGTTGAGCATGGTCAGTAGTCAGCCTGGGGCACCAGACAGGTTCAAGGAGCGAGGGGGCCTTGAACCCAGAAAGGGGAGGCACGCACCCTCAGCTCCCGGGTTTCGGCGCCATCTGCAAGGTGTCCGGCGCATAACAAATCTTCCCAGGCAGACAAATCAGTTAATTCACAGGCTTTTATTGGGATTCCGCTCCTGGGCGAGGTTCCCCGGTCCCAACAGAGAAACGGGGGGGGGGGGGGGGGGGGGGGGGCAGGGAAGTTGCGCGTCAGAGATTAGGAGGGCTCCTTTTATAGATTCAGGGCGTGGGGGTTAAAGGTTGAGGCGGGTCTGATCCTCATTAGGCACCCATGGGGACCTTGACAAGGACTCTCCATTCCTGGAAGTATAAGCCTTCCCTCCTTGCAGATCCCAAAGCTACCACCACGGTCGTGTTGTTTTATCTCTGAAACTCCAGGACCTACACAAGTGTGCAGGGCATGCTGGGAGCTCAGCAAATGTTTGTTGAATGAGCACCCACCTTAGAGGGGTGTTAGAGGCTTAAATGGAATAACATGTGGAAGCAACTGTAGATTGCTGCTATGCTTACTTTCTTTATGAGCTTTATATAAACTGACATATGCATCGATAATATAATAGTAATATTTGTCAAAGTTCAGGCAAACAGATTTCTTCATAGTTAAAAGTTGGGAAAATAATCAGAATCTACACGCAGACATACAACTGTATAACTGTATACACTGTATCAGTAAGACAGGAAATTATTGAAATTCTGGGTTGAGGGTGACAGTTCCCTAAGCTATTTGTTCAGAAAGGAAGAGGGGTGCTGGCCTGGGGGAGAGGTAGGACCACCTTTGCCCCATCAATTAATCTAAGAAATCAGGTGACAGCAAGTGGTAACAGGCTACACCGAGTCCTCCCCTCTGGAGTAGGGAGGTGTCTGAGAGGCAACAGCTGCTAAAAACAGGGGTGGAGCCCACACTCACTGCCACAGCCTTGTCAAACAGAGCCGCCCGATAGCGCCGCCACCTAGCCTCGCGTCAGCACCACAGGCAACACTCAAGGGCAGCTGGATCCCAGTGCACAGGGATGCTCGACCCAGCTGTCCCCACCCTGCTGACAGGCTTGCTCTGCTCGGCTTGCAACCGATGGAGCACAGCTAGAGACGGGCCCCTCCCTCCCGGCCTCTCTTCCTGCTTGCCTGCCTTGCTTTTCACCCAGTAGGAAAGGAAGGAAGGAAGGTAAAATAGGTAAGACGTTCTCAAGGTTACAAAACACAACTATACAAAGAAAAAGTGCAAAGTCTCTGCCCCTTGACTAGCTCCACCTGCATCTATGGGGGGGGGCTCCCCAAAAAGCTCATGGACAACGCATATTATGAAACAACCATGCATGGATTTTAAAAATCTTCCGCATCAAAATAAACTCACTTTTGATTCCATTTTTCATGAACGTTTTCAAGTGTACTTTTATAAGCATATTTACCTGTTACTAGAATGTTATTACACCCCCCCCTTACACACACACACACACACACACACTCCTGTTTATACAGGGAATACATTGGCTTGGTGATACACAGCATTCTGCTCCCAGATTTTCTCATGGACAAAGCATCTTCATGTTTTTGGCATGTCAGACCATGAAGCACTTTCTCATTTTTTTCTTCTTTTTGGTTTTTGCATATTTTTTTAAATCAGTGTGATACACTCCAATACAGCAACAGGGCTGCTTGCCTTTAGAGGCGAGATGTTTCCTGGCTAAGTGGGAAATCGTGTGAACAGCTTCTGGGAGACCTTCCTTCTAAGCAGCGGTGCAGCGGAGCGTTTCATTAGAAGTCTGGGCCTTCTTTCTTCAGTCTGCTCTAATTCACAGTCACCGAGCTCCGTGGGCCCTAGTGGATTCCAGGGCTCCAGGTTATTCTTCCTGTCCCAGCTGACATCTGGGTTGAACAATGCCAGGCACGTGACATCCAGTGCTGCTCCAGGACCTCCTGCTCCATGAATGAAGAGAGGGGTCAGGCTGGGATGCTTCCTGGCCCGACCGATGACCTGGTGGGGCATACGCGCAGCAGAAGCCTTGGGTCTGGAATGAGAGACTTGCAAATCTGCCACGTCCAGGATCGGGCAGTCTCTACACCGAGCTCTCATAGCTTCCAAATCCCTAACTTATTTAACCAGTCCTGAACTGGTGGCATTTATAACCAATGCTGCCTTGGATAACCTTGGACACATACACAGTTTCCCAACTGTATGCAGTCACCCCTTGGTATCTGTGGGGTGTTGGCTCCAGGATCCTCACAGATACCAGAATTCTTGGATGCTCAAGCCCCTTGTATAGAATGGAGCAGTGTTTCCATGTAACCTGGGCACGTTCTCCAGTATACTTTTAATCATCGCTAGATGCCTTATGATACCAAATACAATGTCAGTGCTATGTAAACAGCTGTTATAGCATATTGTCTAGGGAACCATAACAAGGGAAATTTGTTCTTCACCAATTTTGGATGTGCCGTTGGTTGAATAAATGGAAGAAGAACCAGAGGACGTGGGAAGATGAACTGGGCCTGGGACTGAAGAGGGGCTGCTGGATCTGAGGGCAGACGGATAGTTGTTTCGAGGGATACTGTCAATCACTTGTCTTAAGGATTGCACGGTGGGGTGGTGTAGGGCGCAGGGTTCAGGATGCTCCCATCTCTTACGGAGGCGCCTGGGTCTGAGTCCTGGCTCTGCCTCTTATTCTCGCTTCCTGCTAGAATGCACACCGTGGCAGGCAGCAAGGGGTGATGGCTCAACTACTTGGGTCCCTGCCACCCACGTGGGACACCTAGGATGAGATCCTTGTTCTTGGCTTTGGCATGGCCCCCAGCCCTAGCTCTTGCAGGCATTTGGGGAGTGAATTAGTGGATGGAAGATTCCCCAACCCCTTTTTCTGCATTTCAAATATTTTTTGTTATTAGAAAAAGAAGTATTGTATCACTTACACTCCCATTGATAGTGTCTGAGAAGAAACTGACTTCTAAAAGTTTGAAATAGGAAAAACTGCCACGAAGGCCCATTAACACTTACTGGCCCTCCCTCCCACCGTGTGTCAGGCACCGTGCTGGGCACATTACCGTCCTGACCTCGCAAGATCCCCATCACACCGCTTCGAGTTGGGTTGTTAGCTTTCCTATTGCCAGGAGGGAAGCCCCAGGTTCATCCACGGCGAACCACATTTGTCCCCTCTGCACCCCTTCTCCCTCTCCTGGTGTCTCCCGAAGTCAAGTTCCCAGGGAATCCACACTCTGCAAAGCACAGGAACACTAAGAGCCAGCGTTTGCTAAACACTTAATTATGCCAGGCACATTATCTCACTTAATCCTCCCAGCAGCCCCACAACACACGCTCTGTTTATTGCCTTCTATTTTTAGTAACGAGAAAAATAAAAGCCTGAGAGAGAGGAGCCCTTGGGCCAAGGTCACACGATGAGCACACAGCAGCCTCAGGGCTTGAACCCAGACTGTACAACTCCAGCCCTTCACAGCACTACATGGAGGTCACAGCTCAGAAGCTTCCGGAACACGCAGATCCTGGCAGTCACCTATAAAATCCTTGATCTGCAGTTGAGAATCCTAAGGCCAAGAGGAGAGGCCAAGGAACCGGTTTGGTGGCTGCATCGGGCCAGGTGTATTTCTTGAGACCCCCTAGACAAGTGCTCTTTTCTCTTCATAAGAGCTGCGACATCCTGAGCCCTGGGTTGCAGAAATGAGGACAGTGGGTCCAGGCGGCGGACTTGGCTGGTCCCAGGCACTACGACAAGAAAGGGGGCACAAGCATCCCTCGCAATCCAGCTGCCCAGAAGCAGCAGCTGGCCAGGCGGCCTGGCAGAGTCAAGTTAAAGAAGTGGAGGCCTCGGTTCTCGGGTCAGCTCTTCCCCATACTGCTACCATTTATCACGATAACACAAGCTAGTATTTTCTCAGCACCTGTTAGCTGCCAGGCACTGCAATTAAGCACACTACTTCACTTAGCTCTGATAATAGCCCACAGCTCAGAGAGTGAAGTGACTTGTCTGATGCCAATCCGTTGGTGGCAGAGCTAGACTTTGAACTTGTCGCTCCCCCTCTTCGTGGAGGAACGACACAGGACCCTGCGCTGTTCTTTCGTCTGCTCGGCCCTCCCCGGGTTTGCTGCTGGTTCTTCCCGGGTTGGCTACTATCCCTTCCACCTCCGTGGAAGGGCGGTTCCCCCTGGCCGCTTTCCCCACTTCCGCAGGGGAGCGGCACACCGCCGGCCGGCTCTTCTCGGGGGCTGCACAGGTGTTCCTTCAGCTAGATGTTCCCCTTAGATGTTCCTGGTGCATGCCGTCTCTCTCCTCCTTTATAGTCCTCCTCCACCAATCCTAACTCGGCTGCCCACACGCCGAGTACGCTGCTCTCCAATCAGGAGCAAGTCCTACAGTTTATTTGTTGAACTGGAGGCAGCTGTGCGGAAGCTGTTTACTTCTCTCCCAGCGCCATATTGTGGGAGAGCAGATGCATAGAATAAGTCTTAATTCCAGTAACTCAGTCCAGTCCGGGCTGCTCCCCACAGAACTCAGATAGTTTTTAATAATAAAAACCTGCAATTTTTAGAGGTGGGATGGTTCAGTGGTTAGAAACTCTGTCTTTGGAGTCACACAAGCTGGATCTCCCACTTATTACTTCATGAAGTAGGAGAAATTGTTCAGCTTCTCTTTCTATAAAAAAAAAAATACCTGTCATCTCAGAAAGGTATTATACGCTCATGTTCCTGGCAGCCTTATCCACAAAGGGTGGAGGCAACCCAAGTGGGTAAATGGATAAACAAAATGTGGTATAGTGATACAGTGGAATATTATTCAGCCTTCAAAAAGAAGATGCAGCTACAAGCTACAATGTGGATGAAACGTGGGGGTACTACGTGAAGTGAAATAAGCCAGTCACAAAAAGGCAAAAAATGCGATACGATTCCTCTTACAAGAGGGGTCTACTTCACGGGTACGGGAAGCAGGATGCTTTTGCCAGGAGCTGTGGGGGAAGGGGTGGGGGTTCAGTGAGTGTGGATTTCAGCTTGGAGAGATGAGAAGAGCTCTGTGGCGGTTGTGACGATGGCTCGACAGTGCGAACATGTTTAATGTCATGGACATCTGAAAATGACTGCAATGACCAATTTTATGTTTCATGGATTTTACCAGAATTACAAAGAAAAGCAGCAGCAGGTTTCTAGCCTAGCAGTTAAGACGCGTATGTTCTGTACTGGAGTGCCTGAGTTCAAGTCCCAGCTCCAGCACCCAACTCCAGCTTCCTACTAACGCAGGCCACGGAGGCAGCAGGCTGTGGCTCAACCACCTGGCTTCCTGTCACCCACATGGCAGATCTGGCTGGTGTTCCTGGATTCGGGGAGTGAACCGATGATTGGGAGATCTCTCCCTCCTCTCAACCTCTCAGATAAAAAAAACTTGCACAGATTGCTTTAAAAAATAAAAAAAAGCAACAAGGCCCATGTTGAAGAGTTGTGAACATTTGCAGAGATTGTGTTTAAGTGCTTGGCCCAGGCCCAGCACTGAGCAAGCGATGCCTGCCATTCTCACCGCTGGTAACTTCTGTGTGTCTGCCTGGGACCTGGGGACACTCGCACCTCCCCATCTACCAAGGGAGGAAGGCCCCTACGCCTTGCCTCTTTCACTGGGTGCTTGTGAGGAACAAAGGAGACCTCCTGTACGAACACGGTTTGTAGAGATGACTGATCTGGGCATGTCTACGGCAGCTGAACTTCGCGTCCACCTTCTCTTGGTGCCGCGTATTCGTCCCGTCACCGTGCTCGCCGCCCTCCATGGGGCTGTGCCTCCAGCCTCCCTCTCTGCCCATGGACGCCTCCAAGAGGAGCTCTTCCTCGTGTCCACGTTCTAGGAGCCAGCACTCTCCAGAGGGAGCGTCACCCAGTTCCTGATGCCAGTGGAGCCGGCGGGACTGAAGCCCTCTTCAGACAACTGCAGCCAAGAGGTTTGGTCTGCTTGCAGAGAGTGGGCTCCCGTCCTACGTGCAGTTCAGCCCGTGAGGGGCTGGTCGTCCACGCCTGTGCAAACGAGGCCCCGTGGATGAGCAGGAGGAGCCCCCTGGGGAAGGGAGGGACAGGAAGTGAAGGAGGAATGACTCAGGGCCAGTCGGGCGAACTCCCCAGGCCCTCCCAGAAAGAGGCTCCTTGGTTTTCACGACTCGCTTTGAGCTCCTGTGGAGTCAGTGTTTCGCAGGATCCCACTCTGGAGTCCTTGAGCTCAGAGGAATGCAATAAAATGCTTGTTCCATGGAGGTGGAGACAGCCACTTCGCAGGCTGCCGAGGCTGTCGACATGTGTGCTTTGCATCCAAGGAGGCCCTGGGAGGTAAAGGGAGTCACTCGTGGTCTCAGGGGGACAGTGCCAGGCCAGATCCAAAGCTCACAGCCCCTGGCAGGAGGGACCCTACACCCCTCCACTGACCCAGAGGGTATGTGTTGAGGCAAACTGAGGAACAAGGGCAGGCTCTCTGGTGCAGGTAGGTAGTTTTCAGACCAGAACATCAAGTGCATTACAGCTGGGAGTCTACACCTTCCATGATGGCCGGGCTCACTAACTTTTAGACTGAACTTGCCCTCCAAACTCCGGACCAGAAATATCACTTGTTTGTCATTCTTCCTTTTGACTCATAGTGACTCCCCAGCATGCCTTGCAGAGGGAGTGTTGATAAGACCCAGAGAAGAGGAAGAAAAAGTGATGAGGCAGCATGAAGGGCGTCCTTAGTCACCAATAAAGCAATGAGTTTGCGCAGACATTCCTGATTAACAAGCGACTCCATCCTTCGGGAGGAAAGAAAATGGCCGCCCCACGGTTCCCAGTTGCAGAGCACAACTTCCCACTGCGTCTGCATCAGTCGATTCACGCTGCTTCTTCCAGCAGGTGTTGGTGGCAGTGGGCAGGGTGAGGATGACTGATGTCAGCTACACGTGCTGACACAAAGCGTGGAGGACTCCAGCGTGTCTGAAAGCCCGTGGCACAGCCAGGAAGTCAAACTCAAGCGGCCTCAC